CTTCAAGGCTTATCAGCATCAATTTATCTGGCATGCATTCCTTTTGTTGTTCCACTACAGTCATTACACGCCAGCCTTTATAGTACAAATATATTCACAAATATATATTGGGAGAGTTTAGCTTCTCTGCACAATCATTTCCATCTTTTGCTTTACGGTTTCTTTGCTGCCTCCTTTTCGCTCTTTGTATCTCTTTCTCTGTTTAATGCTATCATAATTTTTATGTGATTTTTTATTGTTTGCTGCCAAAGAAAAAATCTAGAAATTTGATTTAATTTTTTATTTTCTTATAAAATCACCAATGGTCATTTCATTGCCTGCTGCTGCTAGGTACTGTCTGTCGGTCCCTCGGCCAGACGGTTGTAAATTCATGCGTGCCACGCCTGCTGTGCGGGGAAGTATGTATAAAAATGAAGGCAACAAAATTATATGCTTAGATATAAGCCAAATGAAGGAGATTGTCTTCTCCACGCCTCATCGCCACAGCTAATCTTAATTCATCAGCGAGGCGGCAAAATTTAAAAAAACTAAACTTGAAAAAAAATTAGGACGGTCACTCTGAAATGTCTTTTTTAAAATGGAAAAATTCATACTTTCATATCATGTTAAACTTATACTAATTTTTGTATAAAATTCAAAAAAATAAAATAAAATAAAATAAAATAAAATAAAATAAAATAAAATAAAATAAAATAAAATAAAATAAAATAAAATAAAATAAAATAAAATAAAATAAAATAAAATAAAATAAAATAAACTAAAAATAACACGAAATGAAATAAAACAAATTAAAAAAGAACTCGTATTAATCATAAAATATAAAATGAAATTTTATGATATGGAAATAAAAACAGATAAATAAAATTACTTAAGTTAAATTAAATAAAGTAAAATAAAATGTAATAAATTATAATAATCATTGGTCTAAAATTGCTCTTTTCGCTTGTGGAATATTTTATACTTGCACATTTAATTGTCGAATATATTAGGTATTTTGTTTCTACAACTCTGTGATAAGCCGCAAAGCCCCAAGCATACATACATGTTTTTTCTAGACTTCAATTGATAAAAAAATAAAATAAAATAGAAATTTTGACTATGCGCCATACTCTTAAAGGGTATAAAATCAAAACTGGTATTTAATTTTTGACAGCCAGCACAAGAAATAAAAAATAGAACTAATAAATATAATTAAAAATAAGAATGCCCGCAGTTATATACATACATAAAATTCTTTGCTTTGCTGACTTGCCTGCTTGTTCGAGCATTTTGTTAGAAACAAAAGACTTAAGCGACGAACGCGCGTGTTTTATTTGAATGTAAAGTAAGAAGAAAAAAGAGAGCATCCCAGTTATTATGTTGGTCAACAGGCAGTCAAAAAACACATTTTATAACATACAGTCATATATGCATTTATGAGTTTTATTTGCTTGTTGCCGCTGCTGTTGTTTGTTCTTTTTTTACATTTTCTTTTCCTTGCTATGTCAAACACTTCAGAGCCAACCAATCGAACAGCAAGCAAGCAAGTCACTCAGTACGACAGGCACTCGATCGTGCTGATTGATGACCGACAAGATTCGAATGTTGGTTCACTGTGTTTTGTACACTACCTTTTGACTTGCTTTTCCTTTTTTTAATTTTTTTATTTTTTAATTCCTTTTATTTTTAATGCTTTTTCATATTATTTTCCATCGACGCAGAACATTATAAACGCTTGTCTGTTACTCAGATGTCAAGGCATGCTTACTTATTCATATGAATTTGAATATGTATTTTTATAGGTATGTTTAATAAATGTATACTTTTATTTATTTAATATTATTTTTCTGCCTCGCTAGCCTGCGGCCACTTGGCTTGTTTCTACTGATTGTTTGTTTGCTTTTGACGTGCAAATTAATGCTTTTCAAATAGAAATCACAATTACTTAAAAAACATACATAACTTAAAGTATGCAAATAATATGAATATATATGTACAGACACATATATATCTGTCATATTTTATACACCACTTATGTCACTAACACCAAACTGTTTTTACTGATAGTCAAAAGAATAGCCACAGCCAGAGCAGTTCGTCCAGTGTGGTGTGTACAATTACATATGTATTTTTTTGTATTGCGGAATGTACATATGTGCATTTACATGTCTACATCCTAGAGGTGATTATACACATTTAGCTAGCATCCATCGTTTTTGCCACAATCTAAAACCACAACTAGAAGAGCCATAGTGAACATAGTGGTAGCCACATAGGGAAAGCTTATATTTCGACCACATCGGCATTCCACAGCTGTTGGCACGCAAATCACTCTATTTGTACAGATGTATGTACTTGTGTTACTACAAATACTACACTACAACAACACTGACATTGATTGGTATCTTTGGAATTCATCAGAAACTTTCTAAATTATTTTACAAGTCATCTTGAAGACATACGTAGACATGTATACAGGCTGCTGAGTTTATTTCTTAAGGATATACTCGTATTTGTGAAAACGCTTATATTGTAGATTATAGTAATTAAGTTGAATATTTTTTATAATACAAGCATTGGAAAAGTAAAATTAAGTAGAACAAAATAAAATAGAAAATCCAAGTTAGTTATAATAAAAAAATAAGATAACTTAAAATAAAATTGCACAAAATAACATCAAGTGAAATAAAATAAAATAAATCAAAACAAAGTAAAATAAAACAACACTAAACAAAATAAAATAAAATAAACTCAAATGAAATAAAATAAAATAATATAAAAAGAAATATAAAGAAATTAAATAAATAAAATATCACAAAATCAAATAATATCAAATAAAGTGAAATAATATTAAAAAAAAAAAACAAAAAAATTAAAACCAAAACAATATCTTTAAAAAAATATTAATATAAAAAGAAATAAAGTAAATTTGAAAAAATGGTGGTTATTTTAGAGTTATATAACTTACCGTGTTTTTTCTGGCAGAAAAATGTTTCATACTCTCAAATCTGTATGGAACCATCTATTTAAGTGAGCCAAGTTTAGCGGCGCTCAGCTCTCAGTCGCTCGGGCTGAGTACAAAAAATGTATGCGAGCATTCGCTTAGCCTATTTTGTTTATGCGTTCATTTCTTGCTGTTGGTACCTTGTTTGTTGTATATTCTTTATTTCTTATATTCTCCATGGCTTTATTTTACAACCTTTTGTATTTTCGCTATTTAGTTGTTATAGTATTTGTTTGTTGCTTTTCTTGGAAACACCGCAGCATAGTTTGTTGGCTATTAATTATTTTGCTGCTGCTGATTATGCTTTTCTTTTTCTCTCTGGATATATACTACATATTTTTGCTTTTTTATATACTTTTTATGATGGCTAAATTTCGTTAAAATATCAACTTTGAACATATTTTCAAGTTTATATATATATATTTGTATTAGGCTCCTGCTGTCATTTTTATAGGCTACGGAAAAAGTTTACTATTCCATTAATTTAGTATTTAAATTAAATTAAATTAAATAAAATAAAATAAAATAAAATAAAATAAAATAAAATAAAATAAAATAAAATAAAATAAAATAAAATAAAATAAAATAAAATAAAATAAAATAAAAAAAATTTAAAAAAAATTATATAATATAAAATAAAAAAATGAAAAAAAATAAAATTAAACCACATAAAGTAAAATTAGCTAAAACAAAATTAAATTTAATTAAAAATGAAATAAAATAAAAAAGGAAAATAAAATTACTAAATAAAATTAAAATACCATTGTTCACCAAAAATTGGAAAGAGTAATGTAGAATAATAATATATTTATTACTTAATCGACAACTCTCATGATGTGTTCCCTCGCGCACTCAAAATTTAGCTATAGGAAAATTCAAAGCAAAAACTTAGAAGGGAAAATTGCAGGAAAACAACAAGTAGCTATTTTTTTATAGACACATAAATGCAGCGCTGTTTTTGTGCTAATGACGTAGTCGTGGTAGTAGAGCTAGTCGCTGTCGTCGTCAATAAACGGAGCGTGAACGCGGTAGCTTATGACGCATTCGCGGCACGACGTATTGTTGTTGCGAACACCAAGTGCCGGTCGCCAGCTTAAACGCGTTCTTTCATAGAGCTCATAAAGCCAACGCGGAGTTGTTTAGGAAACCATATGAGATTTTCTATGTGTGTTGGTTAACGAGTTAACTGACTGCCTTCGTGATTGCGTTTGTGTGTGTTATAGAATGTTTTTTTATTAATATGTGTAGTGTAATAAAAATTTAAATTATATGCGAAATTTGCGCAATCGTAGTACCATAACAGCAAGCCTGCAGCGTATGTTAACCTGCACTGCATATATGTATGTATGTATGTATATTAATAATAACATCTCTCTGAACGGCGCCATTAACCGCTTACAATGACGTATGAAACTACTGTGATTCTATATTAGTTTATATTATTATCTTTTTAATTTATTTGGCTAAAATTCATATAAAGAAATAATTGTGTATGTGTCTCTATTTATTGCTGTTAGTGTACAGTGTTGTTGTCTGTTGTATTTACCCTGTGCCACCATATATGGTCACTTGTTCGTCTAACGATATGTTGATCTTAGACTTGGACGAGTTTGTGTAAAAGTTTACACAGTACAAGTTGTTAGAAATATATTATATAAATAACTATAAACATATTTATATGTTTCTACATATTCGTAATTGTACATATATGTCTGTATATATAGGCTGCTGGCGTCCGAGGAAACACTCGCGCCAAATATGGCATTTCGTTGGTATTGTATTTTAAATGACTTGCCTTTTTCTAATTTTATTTATATATTTTTTGTTTTGGTTTTGCTTTTAAAACTAGACAGCTGGCGCATTAATAAATTTAATTTTTCTCACCTTAAATTATTTAGCAATTATAATGATTATTAGCATTATTTTTCTTTAATTCTTCTATGACTCATTCATTCTTGTTTTTTTATTTAATCAAGTTTATTAATAAGTAATTTTTTTTTTTAATTTTTCTTTACAGTTTGCATTGGCACCAAATCTCGTTTGTCCGTACCATCGAATCGTGAACATCATTATCGTAATTTACGTGATCGTTACAACAACTGTACTTATGTTGATGGCAACTTAGAGTTGACCTGGTTACAGGAACCCGATATGGATCTTAGTTTTTTGGAGAATATACGCGAAGTGACCGGCTATATACTCATCAGTCATGTGGATATACAAAATGTCGTATTCCCAAGGTGAGTGAGTGTGAGCGAACGAAAGATTAAAGTGAAAACAATGGCAGAAGAGTTTAAAAATATAACTCTCCGGTTAGTAAGGTTCGAAGATTAGTTTTTAAATCTATTTTAAGCTGCGAAGTACACCTCCAGTTAGATGAACCAGTTGATTTAGATTAACTTGCCTGTCCCTAAAGGGGGTTGGAAAGCCGCTACAACAGCAACATCAAATCCTTCCCTTTTCGATCTCCATTAATATGAACCGAATCCGTGATCCCTTGTATGTATAAGGCAGTGTATGCTCACGGGTGTGCTGAGAGACTTTGACATTCTAAAGAAAAAGAGCGCTAGATTAGGCCCACACATTTATTAGGTCATTAAGTGATGAGTGATGAGTCTTCTCGAGTATAATGTCGCTCATTTTAAATGGAAGTCGGTCGTCTCACTGTCTCAGTGTTTCGTGAGGATGAGCAAACGGCTATCACAGCGGTCAGAGTTTCGCAGGTCACTTTATGTATTATATTTATATATAAAAACCGCTAAACTGAGCTTCTCCCTCAATTCGTGTGGTATATTTTGATATCTTTTCAAAGGAATTGAACGGCCTACGGGGTTGGTATTCACTTGCAAGGAGTGCATTTAAAAGAAATTGAATATCGTTCTGAGTAGAATTGGAACCCATGACCTTCTAATGATAGCATACACTACTAACCACTCGGTTAAAACGTCCACTAGGTCTTCTTGCTTGTTTAGAATTTCATGAATATTGGAATTACCTGAAAAAACTGATTGAATCAGAACTAAAATTCAACTCAATGAGATCTCCGACCATATCAGCTTAAACTATCACGGAAGCCTTTGAAAGACGGCTTGAACAACTTACTATTCCTGTGAGGTATCTTCAATCATCGTTCGTAGAAAATGTATCGCATTATCGCACTTGGAACTCACTCATGCTTCTACTCTTCCTACGCTGTAGCAGGTCGAACTCTGTACGTGCTACTATCTGCTGTGATATGCTCTACCAAGTTCCAGCTCTTTTTACAGAAGACCATAAATTATATCACTAACCTCTCATAAATTCTTTACTTTCAGACTACAAATCATCCGCGGCCGCACTTTGTTCAATCTCAATGTACAAGATCAACAGTTTGCTCTGTTCACTGCCTACTCGAAAATGTTCACACTCGAGATGCCCGCACTCAGAGACATACTGCAAGGTTCTGTGGGTTTCTTTAACAATTTCAATTTGTGTCACATCAAAACGATCGATTGGAAAGAGATCATTTCGGGTGAGTACCAAAATACAATTTCCTACTCGCGTATTTTTAAATATATAATTAATTATAATCCCTTTGTCAAATAGGTCCCGATGATCGCTTCACATATGTCTACAATTTCACACCACCGGAACGGCAATGTCCCAAATGCCATGACTCCTGCGAGCGCGGTTGTTGGGGTGAGGGACCGAATAATTGCCAGAAGTTTAGTAAGATCAATTGTTCGCCACAATGCGCACAGGGACGTTGTTTCGGCTCGCGGCCACGCGAATGTTGCCATCTCTTCTGCGCCGGCGGCTGTACGGGCCCAACGCAGCGTGAGTGTATTGCATGCAAGAATTTCTACGATGATGGCGTTTGCAAGGAGGAGTGTCCGCCAATGCAAAAATATAATCCCACGAATTATCTATGGGAAACGAATCCCGAAGGGAAATATGCTTATGGCGCCACCTGCGTGAAGGAGTGTCCCGAACATTTGCTGAAGGATAATGGCGCTTGTGTGCGTAGCTGTCCGGCGGAGAAGATGGCTAGGGATGGCGAGTGTGTGCCGTGTAATGGTCCCTGTCCGAAAACATGTCCCGGCACGCCTGCCCTGCACTCGGGCAATATCGACTCTTACATAGGTTGCACGGTGATCGAGGGTTCCATACGTGTGCTGGATCAGACGTTCTTCGGTTATCAACACATTTACTCCAACAACTCGTTTGGCCCACGTTTTATAGCTATGCATCCAGATCGCTTGGAGGTATTCTCTACGGTTAAGGAGATCACAGGCTATTTGGATATTGAAGGCGCTCACCCAGCTTTTAAGAATCTATCGTATTTCCGCAATTTGGAAGTTATACATGGACGTCAACTGATGGAGAGCTACTTTGCTTCTTTGTCCATAGTAAGATCCTCATTGGAGAGCTTGGAGTTGCGTAGTCTGAAACGCATCAACTCCGGCGCGGTGGTGATACAACAGAATGATAATATTTGCTTTGTGAGTGATATCGATTGGCAGAAAGTGCAGAAGTCTGTGGATCACGGTGTGGTAATTGCACGAAACCGCAATGAAACCGAATGCAGTAAGTTGAAGACGATTAAGTGTTCTATACGCCTGGCTTCCATTAGCAGTGTTATAAATCTCTCTATCTATTATTTGCAGAATCTGAGGGTCTTATCTGTTCGGATCAGTGCAATAAGTCCGGCTGCTGGGGTAAAGGGCCCGATCAGTGTTTAGAATGTAAGAACTTTGCCTTTAACGGCACCTGTATTGCTGACTGCCGCAATATAACGAAGTAAGTCCAGTTTAAAGCTTAACACAGTTGCTTTACTAACGGTATACACCTTTGTTTCCTTGTAGCGCCTATCAATTCGACAATAAAACTTGCAAGGAGTGCCACCCCGAGTGCCTCACCTGCTCTGGCCCGGGCGCCGATCACTGCGACGAATGTGTACATGTGCGTGATGAGAAACGTTGTGTCACCGTTTGCCCGGATAACAAGTACTCGGACTATGGCATCTGTCGCACTTGCCACGAAACTTGCGAGGGTTGCACGGGACCAAAAGACACTATCGGACCGGGTGGCTGCAAGACATGTAATTTGGCTATCATTAACAGTGATACCACCGTGGAACGTTGTCTGCTGAAAAACGATAAGTGTCCCGACGGCTATTATTGGGAGTATGTGAACCCACAAGAACAGGGCAATCTGAAACCGTTGGCGGGCAAAGCCATCTGTCGCAAATGTCATCCACGTTGTGAGCTCTGCAATGGCTATGGCTTCCATGAACAGGTCTGCTCTAAGTGCGCGGGCTATAAACGCGGCGAGCAATGTGAGGATGAGTGCCCGCCTGATCACTATGCTGATGAGACGCGCCGTGAGTGCTTTGAATGTCATCCCGAATGCAAGGGCTGTACCGGCCCGAGCGCTGAGGATTGTATCGCTTGCCGCAGCTTTAAGGTCTTCGGTTTCGGCGATCCCAACGACAACACAACTTTGTTCAACTGCACATCTAAATGTCCTACTGAGTATCCATATGTCATTTATCAGTCAACCGATATTGGCACCTATTGTTCGGAGGTGCCTAGTAAGGGCACTAAACTCACTGCCGGCGTTGATAGTTATATCTTCTTTATTGTGGCCTTCATTGTCATTGTGGTTTTGTTCAGCATGTGCATCGTCTGCTATGTGTGTCGTCAGCGCACCAAAGCGGAAAAGGAGGCGGTGAAAATGACACGCGTGCTTAGCGGTTGTGAAGACGCAGAACCATTGCGCCCATCGAATATTTCACCGAACCTTTCAAAATTGCGCATTGTAAAAGATGCGGAGCTGCGGAAGGGTGGTGTGCTCGGCATGGGTGCATTCGGTCGTGTCTTCAAAGGAGTTTGGGTGCCTGAAGGAGAGAACGTAAAAATACCAGTTGCAATTAAGGAACTGCTTAAGGCTACTGGCGCCGAATCCAGCGAAGAGTTCTTACGTGAGGCTTACATAATGGCTTCTGTAGAACATCCGAACCTACTCAAGTTGCTTGCCGTTTGCATGACCTCACAAATGATGTTAATCACACAGCTAATGCCGCTGGGTTGCCTGCTTGACTATGTACGCAACAATCATGATAAGATCGGCTCTAAAGCGCTGCTGAATTGGTCCACGCAAATCGCCAAGGGCATGTCTTACCTGGAGGAGAAAAGACTAGTACATCGTGACTTGGCAGCACGTAATGTGCTCGTACAGACACCGTCTATTGTGAAGATCACCGATTTCGGTTTGGCGAAATTGTTGAGCAGTGACTCGAATGAGTACAAAGCGGCGGGCGGTAAAATGCCCATCAAATGGTTGGCACTGGAGTGCATAAGACATCGTGTTTTCACGAGCAAGTCGGATGTATGGGCCTTTGGCGTAACCATTTGGGAACTGCTTACTTTCGGTCAGCGACCACATGAAAATATACCCGCTAAAGATATACCCGATCTCATCGAAGTTGGTTTGAAGTTGGATCAACCGGCAATTTGTTCACTCGACATCTACTGCACACTGCTGTCCTGTTGGCATTTAGACGCCGAAATGCGTCCCTCATTCAAACAGTTGGTGAATGTATTCTCCGAATTTGCACGCGATCCAGGCCGTTACTTAGTCATACCCGGCGACAAATTCACGCGTCTACCCGCCTACACAAGTCAGGATGAGAAAGACCTTATTCGAAAACTGGCGCCCACCACCGAGGGCCCAGAACCAATGGTGGAGGCAGAGGATTACTTGCACCCAAAGGCTGTAGCTGGTCCTCAGTGCGCAGAAGGTCCGGATGAGGTACCACAACTCAATCGCTACTGCAAGGATCCAATGAAAAAGAGCTCATCGTCGGGCGGCGACGACGAAACTGACTCGAATGCACGTGAAGTGGGCGTTGGTAATTTGCGGCTTGATCTGCCAGTCGACGAGGATGACTATCTCATGCCCACCGGCCAGTCTAATACGCCGAATGGCACCACCGGCAGCAATAACAACACAATCAAAGCCAATGGCCATCCCAATGGGGGTATGGGTATTGGCGCAGGTGGTTACATGGATTTAATCGGTGTACCAGCCTCAGTCGATAATCCTGAGTATCTGCTCAACCCACAAACGCTTAGCGTTGATGAGGCGCCCATACCAACACAAACCATCGGCATACCGGTGATGATGAACCGCAACGGCGGTAACACAATGCCAATGGCAGCGACTGGTGTGAATGGTGGCATTTTAAGCGGTCACCATCATCAATCACATCACCCACCCACCTCGGCGGCGGCTGTAGCGGCGGCGGCGAACACCATTGCAGCGCTCACGGCTATGCACGACATGAATGTGGCGGCAGCAATGGCGGTGGGCAACGGTGGCTCGGAGCCGACCAGCTCGGATCATGAGTACTACAACGATACGCAGCGGGAGCTGCAGCCACTGCATCGCAGTGAGACGAGAGTGTAGTGAATGCCGAACCAGTGGGAGCCGATGACTGGTGGTTGTAGCCAAAGCGAATGCGGCACGCGAACGTGAGAGAGAAAGAGAGAGCGGGAAAGAGGGGGTGTTGAAGGTGGGGGAGGAGCAGCAGAAAAAAGACTGCAACACTGCCTACGTGAACTTAACTTGCCACGAGAACTTGCAACGTGCCTCATTTACATACATACGTGCATATACTTTAGAAATATATGTATGTAGTAATGTTACTGTAAATATACACACACACACACATTCACGCACATACACATATAAATTCGACTTGTAGCGAAATCGAAATTCGAATCGAAGCAAAACAAACAAACAAACAAATAATTTATAAGAAGAACTACATACATATAAATATATATAGAAATTATACATAAACATAAATGTATGCATATAAGCCACTTAAGCTCCTACTTGGCGAATGCCGACACTTGGACTTAGCCCAAAAATAAATCCACTCTTTAGTTGTAGGCAATTGAGTAGCGTTTAACTGTACATACAGACATACACACATATGTAATAAGTAGTACCTAAATTATTGTTGTATACTGTAGTACTTATTGGGTAGAGATAAAACACGATAGAAATAACTGCAAAATATCAACTTGTAAAACAACAACTAGGAAAACACCACGAGTGCATTTGATTTAAATGAAGATCCGGTCCAACGACGATGAAGAGCAAACATTTTTAAATTACAATAACAAAATATTCCGTATGGCCTGCGAATCTTCATGAACTCGTTGTCGTTTGTAACTGTAAATTATTAAAAAATGATAATAATAAATTGCTTAGGCTAATTCTATTTTTGTTTTTACTATAACAAACTGTGATAAATAAATGAGTACGAAAACGATGAAACACAAAAATACAAAAATATTAAAAAAATCAAAAAAAAAAAAAAAAATAACAAACACGTAAAACAATGAACAAATTGAACAAAAACTAAACAAAAATGGCAAATAAGCCTGTGGCTAATGTTAAAACTTAATATTTAATTATATCAAAAAAAAAAAAAAAAATACTAAAAGAAACAAAAAAAAAATTACTTCAAATACGCGCCTTCCATTATAACTAAAAAAAAAAAAAAAATTTTTGCTTTAAGGAAACTTTTGTGCCTTCTGAAAAAAAATCTTAAATTTTTGAAAAAAATAAGTTATAATTCCAGAATATCGAACAAAAAGCATTTTAATGAAATAAAACAATAGAAGAAAAAAAGATGAACATAAAATAAACCAAAATTAAATAATATAAATAAAAAAAATAATATAAATAAAACAAAAAAATTTAATCAAATTAAATTATAAAATTAAAATTAAATTAAATAAAAAAATGAAATAAATCCAAAGAAAGAAATTAAAATAAAATAAAATAAGCAATAACAAAATAAGATTAAATAAAAAAAAATTGAAGTAAAAAATTAAATAATATGAAATGAAATAAATTTATATAAAATCAATTAAAACAAGCACACGAAAAAATAAAATAAAGTAAAATAAAATAAAACGAAACAACATAAATAAAAAAAAATAAAATAACAATAATAAAATGTATCTAGATAAAATAAAAATAACAAAATGTATGTAAATAAAATAAAAATAATAAAATTTATCTAATTAAAATAAAAATAATAAAATATATCTAATTAAAATAAAAATAATAAAATATATCTAAATAAAATAAAAATAATAAAATATATCTAAATAAAATAAAAATAATTAAATATAATTAAATAAACTAAAATAAAATAAAATAAAATAAAATAAAATAAAATAAAATAAAATAAAAAATAGCAAAATATAATTAAACAAACTAAAATAAAATAAAAAAATAAAGTAATATAAAATAAAGTAAAACAAAAATTTAAAATAAATAAAAAAATTTAAATTAAACTATATTTTATTAAATAATTTAATATAACATAAAATAGAGTAAAGTAAAATAAAATAAAGTAAAATAATTAAAACTTAAAAATTTATTCATATTTTTTTTTAACAATTCAAGGTAGAAGAAATTCCATTCCCTGGTAACCAATTCAAAATTTAGCTGCTTCTGACATATTGTTGATAAATTTGTTTCCCATATTTTCTAAGAAATAAATAAGGCACTTGCTTTAACTGCGCAGTAATAATAATTTCTAACGCGTATACAATTTTTAAATTTAAATATTCTCTTGTGTGCAAAGTAATTACTTAGTGATTGCGACAAATTCTTTGAAGCACATATTAATTTTTTGTAAAAACCTACTAATTAAATGTTTAAAACTAAAAAATAATTACAAAATGACTTTTTAGATAGCATAGTGACTTAGAAGTAGTGGGTGACAGAGAGAAAGAGAGAAAAGTTTGAATTTTTGTATTTCATTATTTTTACAAACACTTTTACTTGAAAACAAAATCCAATTTATACAAGTAATGCTTTAAGCTTGCAAAAAAATTTCAATTTACAAATGTAATAACAGACAAGTATTTGTAAAACTCAATTTTATCAAAGAATAATTTTCAAAATTTGCCAAAATAGCCATTAAAGTGTTTATCGGCTGAGTTTGTTCCTGCATTTTCAAAATGTTCAGCGAAACATTTTGTAATTTACTTTTCGAAATTGTAACACATAATATTAGTTAAAGTTAATTAAATTTATTTTACAAAAATGCATAGATTTCAAAATCTCTCTCCGCAAAAAAGTCACGTAACCTATTAATCAATACTTACATGCATAAACACCAACAGACTTATTAATACGTTCATATAAAAAAAAACCAATTTAATTTAATAAAAATACTAAAAAAAGTGCCATTCACTCCATACTGATTAATAACGGACGAAAGCAGGCGGGCTTACGTCTACTTAGAATTGCACTAAAGTACGACTTACTTGCATAAGTTAATAATTAATAATATTTCAAAATTTTCATAATTTAAATTTAAAACGAGACACAAAAAATGTGCGGGGGGGTCATCCCAACCACACATTCTTCACTCGAAAGCCTTCTTAAAACTACTTGCAAATTTCCATTTTTGCCGAAATCATAAATTTAATATTTTATGCTTACGTACATATGTAAATATACTTATGCACTTAAATATACATTTATAAATAAATTTATATATTCTTATATATCTTGCGAATGTATATAAGTATGTAAGTACATTTGCATTAAAAGCCAGTGTAGCTACTTAGTAATATATATGTACATATCCATATAAATATATTATATGTATATGCATATTTGTATATAAATAGCAATGAACGAAGCCCATCAATTAAGGCAACTATTAAATCATATTATTACATAATTTACTATATAAAAAATATATATATAAAATATTTTGCTTTATATATTATATTTTCTACTATTTACAATAATAAAATATTGTGTAGTTTATTATGTATGAAATAGTAGTTAATTATTGTTATTAATAAACAATTTGTATAATAAAATATAATCAAATTAAAAAAAAAAAAATATTAATAAAAATTTCATAATAACAATTAAAATCACGCATGTGTTAAATAATTTGTATGTACTATATTTATTGTATATGACATATTTTATTAAGTTCAATAAACAAAAAAAAAAAAAAAAAATAAATCAAAATAAACTAAATTTAAGTACGATTACTATATATTTAGCTGATTATGCTTAGACTTTTATTTTTAAGTAAAAAATTCAAATAAAGTTATTTAAAAAATTAAAACAAAAAAAATGTTTTTATTTGCAGTTGAAATAAATACACAATAATAAAGGTAGTTAATTACTCCCTGGCTGTTTACTATAATCCTTATTCTCTTATCTTAGAATGCGTTCCCAGTCTCTTGGAGTTCTTCTCCGTTGTTAATGCGAACCTCTTTGCTCTCTTAATATTTTGGTCGTAAAAAATTGTCCACTGAGAGACAGCAAACCAGATCGTAAATTTACGTTCGATATACGCTCTTCCCAAACAAAATGTAATAGATTGAGCGACATTTCCAAGATAGCCAGAGAACTTAAAATAACTTATTATAAGTTCTCCAGAGAAGAGAAAATCCACATGGGTTTTCGGTTTTTTGCTTCTTGTGCAGGTTCAAATTCCTTCAATTTATTCAAAATTATTAAATTTTTTATTTTTGTTTATTTTATTTAATACTTTTTGTATATTAATAATTTCAACTTTCAAATGGAAAAATTTAATTTTTGTGTTATGCTGTTGCGTAGTTAGCGCATACGTATGCATATATACATACATATGTACATATGTATGTCTTTATATTTTTGGTGTTTTGTTTCTGGCGCTGGTTCAAATTTCCTTCGAAGGAGCCTTAATATATTATTAATTATTATATATTTTTCATACCAATTTTTAGTTTTGTTATTTTTTATTATAATTATTTATAATAAATTTTTATTATAATAAAGAAATTTCTTGTAGATTTGTAAATTTCCATTAAATTTATATTATTAAATTTATAATACTATATTTCTATTGATTTTACTTCTGTTGTCTTCAATAACAGTTTTTCTTTATGCTAAATTATCAAAACTGTTAGTTTACAGCCAAATTTTAACAGAGTGGTGAATCCCTTTCCCGAGATTTTCTAGCTCTGTAGAAACTTCAATCGAGCATCGAACAAAAAGTCAATTGCACCTTCTCGTTATTTTAAGTTCTCTGGTTCTCTGCCTAAGCGCAGAACGTTTATCACCAGAACGTAGTTTATGCGGAAAATTCTCTTCGGTTTGTGTATTTGCTAATTTTTATAACAAAAATGTATACGATATAAAAACGGTTGAATATGCTTAAAAAATAAAACGTTGCATACTTTTAGGCGTTCTTAGTAACATCGTTTCCTTGGAGAACGTAAACGCGATAACATCATATTGTATAATATATCAAAGCAAAATAATTTTAACTTAAATTAAGGAAAATTAGTTTAACGAAAAAAGTCTTTGTAAGTCAAATTTTAATTTATATCATTATTTTATGCATTATCAAGCAAGATTTGATATGTGTAACGATTTTAATACACATTTCCCCAACTTTGATTCCTGTGACTCGCTTTTCTGTATCAAAATCTACTTACTAAGTTCTTTAAATAATTAAATAGATTCCCTCTTCTTTTCGCCATGCAATTTTATAGCAGCAGATGAACAAATCTCTAGCTGTTTAGTGTAAGAGGCAAGTGTAAGCGCGATCTTTCGAGATCGTTTTCGGGTTCAGGGCAGTCCGGACTGTTACTGGTTTTCGGTCACCGGTCTGTTAGTTTTTTTTTCGATTTCCCTCAGACGCGCCCCTCTATAGGTTGGGCGGGAGGTGGGTAACGCTGAGTTCATCGTTCGTCGTAGAGTGAGGTGACCTGTAACAGTAACACCTGAAAAAAAAAACTAAAACGTTCAAAATATGAAAATTGGACGAAAGCCAGAGTAAAGGATGTCTCAGAGTGTCCACAGCTGTCTGGTACAGCCAGAGTTTATTATCATTGCTTTACCCACACGACAAACACTAGTTGGCTGCTCGTTGTGATTGCTGCTTATCGACGTCGTATGTGCGTTTCTGGAAGCGTGTTCTTGGCTGCAAAAAGACACCTGTCTGAGTCACTGATAGAAACTCGAACATTGGAGACATGTCTTTCGTCTACAACAACATGGACGATATGGCCTTGAGTACTTCGATCCGATGACAACAAAGTAATTTGATGGATTTTTCTTTAATAAGAGGAATATCAGGTATTTCAGTTTACCATTTTTCGGGTACCTATACTCGGAGGGCTTGAGGTTTCATGCAGAGGGGCGATCGAATTTGAAAAATTTAGCTTAACTTTTTAATTAAATTAGTTTTCTATTACTTACGATGTCGTACAGACTAAGACTCCAAACCAATCGCTCGGCTATTGGGGTCGAAAA